ACACACACACACACACACAACTAGCTGCAATTAAAGGCTAAACTCTACATGCAGCACACTGTCTTCAAAGGAAGTCGCCCCGGGAGAAAAGCTGGTAATATTACATAATTGAGTGAAATCGTCTATGAAATGATGACTTTGAAATAGAGACATGACGGGTCGTAGCTATTTGACTAAAACATGCACAATTACAAGAGTTTAGGTATTTTTTTCTTTTGATGTTGCTCATTAAAATCTTTTTTTTTGACAAAATACACACCGTTCTGACACTATTATGTAAATGTTACTCTTCATTGGTCTGCAAAATTGTCTTACGTTTCATTCATGAGGTCACTTCAGTCTTACCTATTCTTCAAAGACAACAGTAACGGAGCTTTTAGAGAAGAGCCACATTATGAGCTCATTCCCCACTAGATGTAATGGCGTCAGTTGTCCACATAGGGGTGCTAGTGCCCAGTGTGCTCATCAGGTGGTTTACCTCAGACAGCCTGTGGTGTTCCTCAGCACCAGGGAGGAGTGGAACTTCAGCTTGTGGTCGTCATCGAAGGTGGAGCTGCTCCATCCAGAGTGAGGGATGATCACAGTGTTGGTAAGGGTCAATAAGGCGTCCCGAATGATTGTCACCTTGATGGGGTCACATGACGACAGGTTCCACAGCACCCCTGTGGAGAAACCCGCACGCAAACGCAGGCGTTGAGAAGCAGGCACGCAAACCTCCTGTTATGTCAGCTGTCATGTGCAGTTAGGGTAACCCAACAGAGATAGCCACAATTTAGGCTTTTAATAGCTCAGTGTGTGTGTGTGTGGATGTGTCCACGAGACTGACTCACACACACAAAAGTGTTCCTCACAAAAGGAACAGCTCGAGCATCAAGGCATCAGACATTCACATCAAATTTCATCTGGGGCAGAATATCCTCGGGGCTGAGATTATTTGCTTGAAACGGCAAAAAAAAAGAAAGAGGACGAGGCGGAGATCCATATGGCAAAGACTCAAGTTATTTCAAAATGAAATATAAATATTTAGAAATTGTGTCATTTCACTGAAGTCAAATAGACTTTTGGTAACCACTGATAATTATGCACAGCCTTTGATGCTGCATCTGTCAAGGATTAGCCGGCATGTAGTATGTTCTTCCAATTAGCTGCCTCTTGCTGCCCAGGGCTGACTTGCGCAGGCCACCAGCAACCTTGGAGGAGGCTGATGCTGCGGCTAAGAACACGGTTAATACTCCAAAAATGCTGCTGCAACAAAACTACAGAGTGCATGTGTGTTAGTGGTCACTTCGTGTCCAATTATGCTACTGTTTTTGCACTTCAACTTGGCCTTGGGTTTGTAAGTGTAGAACAAAGTACATGATCTACAGACCAGTGCGAGCTATTCGACTGAGCTCTCTCTGTGTATATCTGAAGCTCGTATACAAGTACGCCTCAATGGTAGAGGTAAAGAAAATAATGATTAGCTTTCCTGACTCCTTCTCTCTTTGCTCGTTTTTTAATTTCCTCTTAGCACGCTGCCCCCCCCTCTCTCTAATTGAACCAACAGACGATAATAGTCTATAATATAGCCCCGGAGCCCAATTCAGACACACTGCTGGCAAGAAGCTGTATAGACAGATATGAGTCTGCCAAGCAGTGTTTCTGCCAGTCATTTAATCAACAGCTATTTCACTTACTACAAACATCAAAGCACTTTAAAGAAACATTCAAATCTGGGAGTGAGCTTTCATTATTCCATTTGTATTTTGACAAAATGTCAATACAAAGCTGAGCACTAAGTGATACTTGGGCTCTAGAAAAAGACAGCATGCAGCATGTGCTTCTTATTAGAGCTTGCTAGCAGCGTGTGAGGGGTTGAATGCTGAAACCCTAGCATCAGACGGGGCTACCGTCTCTGCTCTGCTCAGGCAGTGGGATACATTTTAATCAAATCCCACTGTGGCGATGGAGCTCTGCTCCTTGCGCAAGCACAGTCAGTTCTGTGTTTTCCTTTCTCACGGGATACTCCGATGCACACAAGGAATGACCTGAAATAGGACCACTAATGCAGCGATAACACATAAATTCACACGCCTGCTGACCAACTTCACGGGTGCTTTCAAACTCCACAACCCCCCACTCCAGCTCCTCCACACCCAATCTAATGGCAATTTCCAGAAATGAAACATTCTCTGCAGGATTTCAGACCTGGTCCTGTGGAGGCGGTGGCATGCTAGAGAAAATCAACAGGCGAAATCACTGGGGTGTGACTGACAACTCTGTCAGTGGTGCAACACTAGCGGCAATAAGTCACATCTGACAGTCAGATGGAGCAAATCTGTCAGTGTGTGTGTTTGTGTGTGTGTGTGTGTGAACCAAACTGTGTTCTCTGCTCATGTTCTCAGGTGCCTTGGCCCTAGCTTTGAAACGGCGACCCAATGTAAACACTCTTGTGACACCAGGGCCAGTAATTCTATCCAGAGCTAAACTCCAGAGAGCAAGAGGAGGGAGAGGCTCAATACAGAGATGGAGGACAAAGTGAAAAAAAAAAGAAGCTGGTTAGAATATCTCTAACAGCTGTTGAAGCATTGATCCAAGAGCTGAAAACTTTTCACTTTTCAACTGAAAACCGAGCAGACGTTTCTCTTGACTTGAGGTAGCTCAGCTGTGATCGACACACATTATCAGACAGTCTCTCCCGGAAAGCCTCTCTCATGGTTTCCAAAGCTGTTTCACCATCCGATAAGCAATTATACCGGCGACTTAACGGCCCTGACACGCGGAGCCAGCGGTCAGGTGGCCCCTCAGAAGGACCATCTGGCCGTCATTGCGTGTCTTGTTGCAGATCGTTGCCCGTTGAGTTTGCAGCACCGTTGGCGTTATCTGTAACCAATCACCAGAGTTGCATGTAGACAATGTCATGTCATTTTTGCCATTAAAGAGGTGAGAGAGGTTTATAACAGACAACATGGGGTGGCAAAGTATTTCCTAAGCCTGCAGAGCTGGTTCATTGAGGTGGGCTCTCTGTGTCCAAGGGCCCAAAGTTCACACCATCTACCCAACAGTCAAATTGTCACAACTATCACAACACTAAGCTTACAAACTAGTAAGTTCATATTCAAAGCTCGTTCATTTACACTGTAAAAGGAAAAAGCTGCTTGTTTACCCTCCACTGTAAAGTTACCGCATCGCAAGGCTAAACACAGGCTGCAGCTATCGCTACGAGACACACTGAGATCAAATTGATCGTTTGTTGTTTGATTCCCAAAATGTGATCTTTGTCTCTTTAAACCACCGGGTCAGCATGTCATCGACTTTCTCAGGTGCAGTAACTGGGTCAGCGTTTAGTTCAGTCTGTGAAAAGCTGCTGATCATTCAAAAAAAAAAACAGACAAATTTATTAACCTTTACATTTTTGTGAGCTGCGCGGGAAACTTGTCGTTGCTGCATCGACTAAACCTCAGACAGCCGGCTTGCTGTGTACTTTTGAGTTTGGTGGGCGTTTCTCATTTACTCCCTTCATGCAGCGGAAGTCGTTGCAATGCTGCTTACGGCTATAGCTGGATTTGTTTTTGGATCAAATTCACTTTCCCTTTTTTCATTTGATCAAGAGGTCTTAACCTCCTTATTCTTTGTTCTCAAACAAAACAAAGGCAGTAATCGATGCCAACACTCGGCAACTCACAAGTAGTGCTGAGTTTGATAAAACTGAAAAAAAATAAAAACAGTTCAACTGATAAAAGTGCTACAGATTTAATATCCGTTCTCAAGAAGAGCAAGACTGGAGCAAAAATAAACAATAAAAAACAGGACAGTGTTAAAATATGTTACCTTCATTCTGGGTGTTTTCTTTCATCTTTCACTGTTTTCTATGTTGGGCCGAAGGTTTAGAATTATAAAAACAAGTTAGAATCTTACAGATTTTAATCAGGTGCAACTGACTCAAAATGTACAGTAAATGAAGTTCAGCACCTAACCAAACTATTTTCAGAGATTCGTCTATTCTAGCAACAGTTTAGATGAGGCGGTGAGTGCATACCAGCCAAATTGATGAACTCCTAAATAAGTGACTCTTTTTCATTTGACAAAATATTTTCTGTGTGAGAACAAAGAATTATCTTTAAATACACGGACAACTCACAGACCCTCAAACGCTCGAACACAATGAAATCATGATTAAGAATGTGGTTTCCAAAGTAAAGCCAAAACAATGGAGCCGTGTAATATCTAACAAAGGGTAACAAAAACATAGCTTTGTGTGTGTGCATGCTGGTTTCAGGCGTCCCCAGTATCTGAGCTAATGACGGCGCTGTTCGGTTTGGCCTTTTGATCTGAGGGGCAGTTACAGGACAGAGCAATAACCACAACAGCTGCTGGGAGACGAGGCAGGTAAGGTCCGCTTCTTGCGTCCCCCACAACATGACCTCTGACCCGGAGCAGGCGGTTGGCCTGTTCTTGCAGCTACTTTTAATGACGCACAGGTGACACCTGGACCTCCCAGCGGAGTCGAGAAGGAGCCACTGACACAACTGAGAGCCCCCCCCAAACGCTTCTCAAGCTAAGTTCCGACACCTGGCTGGCTTTCTAAGGTGTTGTAAGTCATTTATACACAACATTATGCAAACAGTGCACTGTAAGTAGAGATCAGCTGCCGGTGAGTGAGTGATTTCTAGCTGCTCCACTTTGCTGTGGGATGCCCTAGTCATCCAGCTGAAAGCTCTTTATGTGGATTGTTCTCATCAGCCCTAATTAACCGGAGGTGATGCAGCACTTCTGACCTTTTCTAATTGCTCCCCATCTTGGGGCCTGAACCACAATTAGCTGCAGCAGGCTCTCAGGCTAGTCGGGGAAAAGACTTAAACAGACCTCACATTAAAGCTGCTTACTCTTGGTGGGGTAACCTTTTGAAATGTGAATGAAGGGAGCGAAAGAAGTTTTACTGGATATCAACCGTTGACTCCTGTGTACTTAATTATATGAGCGACAAATTAGAAGACAGATTCTGCTCTTGTGCACTTTTAAAATGGTGATCCTTTGGTTTGTGTTACTGAAGAAGATCTCCTCCCGGACGAGGTAAAAAAAAAAAATGCTACATGTGTTTTGTGTCCGTTCTCCGACTGTAGTGTTTTCCTGCGGGGGCCTCGCTGGACTGACACCCGAGACCATATTAGTGCAGGGGGCTGGAGTCGAGCTCAAGCGGCTGACTCAGCCACCTGGGAGCCAAACGACTTGGCTTGCTCATTTCTGCGGTGCTCCACCCTGATCCTAGACAACACAGATTTATACCCTGTGTGCAGAGATTAGACAACGCACAAATACAACTGAGCTGCACACAGTGCAATGCAGAGAGGAGGAGACTGACAAGCAGATTGTCACAGACAGTTCTTTTCAGACAGAGACAGCACTAAATCTCTTCTCCAGCCTGTGAAAATGTGGTTTCATTTCTTTGCATATATTATAAGCAGTAGTGACAGCAGTGACAACAACTTAAGGAAAAGCCTCTACAACTCAGTTACTACAACAACCACAATGTTAGGATAGACCACAGTAAGTAGTCTGCTTAACTGAGTAGTAGTTTCTTAATTCAAACCTAATCTCTATGAGCAACATTGAATGGTTAACCATGACACGCAGCACCAGGTAAGGTAACCATGAGCATGAGCAACCGGACCAACACAGTGCTAAAACACCTGCAGGTTTGTCAGGTAAATAATTCAGGATCTCCTGCAGAATGTTCCCTTCCTGTAACCCTGCGCTAAACCTCCTAAAGATCAGATTCTCTATAAGAGTGACCCACAACAACAGCGTTTGATGCCGGAGAGCTGAACAATGAGCTGAAACTTGCTACATATAAACCTCAGTAAAAGCCGAGGAGAGTTGAAGATTCAGGTGATAATCATCTGAAGGTTCATCACCAAAAGCTCCTCTCACATCTCATCATTTGATTTTGCTATAAAATGTAAATGATCACTGCTTTTAGTGATTCACCAAGGAAAAACAGCAGACATGCTCTGGTTCAAGCCTCCTAAATATGACTATTTGTCCCCTTTCTCTGTTTTAAATGAGTGTAAATTGAACATATTTGGGTTTCAAATAACAAGCAACATAAAGATTTTTGACTTTGATCATGGGGGAAATTGAGGCGGCCAATTTTGTCACAATTTTCAAAATTGTTAAAGCTGAAAAATTCTTTGATAATGAAACTAATCATTAGATGACAGGAAGTGTACTTTTGCTTTCTTGTTAGGGCAGAAGGAGGAGCTTTATAGCGGATCATAGTTATGTGGAAGCATGTAAACACTACATGCCCACATCCTAAAAGGGAAACCAACAAGCTCGGAATTCACCTCAGTGTTTTGAAATGCAGATACATCCTCCACACATGCTGACTCACCTGTGACAAGCTCCCTCACTTCAGCATCCACAGTCTTCCTCAGCAGGCGGAGCAGAGCTGGGACACCTCCTGCGTTCCTCACAGCGATCTTGTTCTCATCCATAGCTTTCCCATAAACGAGGTTCCTCAGAGCTCCACAAGAGTTCTTCTGGACCTCAAGGACCTTGTGGTCTAGTAGGTCCACCAGGTGTTTAATTCCACCCAGTCGACACACCTGTGGATGATGTGAGTGAGATCAGGTGGGGAAAAGATTCTGACCACAAAGAGCTTCTTTTTTTTTTTTTTTTTCATCTTATATTACTGTGGAGCACAAAATCATGCATTTATTCATGTGACAAGAGAATCTAGACACAGGGAATTTAATCATAATGTCTATAATCTATGTCTACAAAAAAAAAAGCCTTTACCAAAGGACACGGCGGTTTAAACGACTAAATTAACGCTTTCATCTTGAGAGAGGAATGAAACGTACTAGGAAAGGATTGCTCCATCTTTCCTGCTTATAGTATGAATCATTTTGTGAGATGTTGACATTTGGATAAAAGAATTCTTCATCTCTGAAGTCTTATTTCTCTTTCAGCTTTACGTTGAGAAAAGACAAACTTGACCTTTAATGTTGTGAGTGAAAAACAGGCGTAGCGATGGATTCCTGTGTGTCTATTTTAAGTTAACTGTTAGCAGTACGGTTGTTTCTTTTAATGGTTTATGGCATGAGCGAGCAGTGTGAATGTGTCTACGTGTGTGATTCTGCCGTCGGTTTTGTCTGCTGGGTCAGAGTAAGTAACATTTAAGGGACCACTTAAGGTATTACAATTCATCCTGAGGGGGGCATGCATGTCTGTGCAATCCATCTAGGGTTGTGACAAGTTAAGACATTTCACTTGAAATATATAATAAGACACAGTGTGGCACTGGTGGTACAATACCTACCTCCGTCTTAACCCGGTTATCGCCAAAGCACAGGTGCTGCAGGTAGGCGGCTGCGTTGGCCTGCACTGAGGGGAAGTGGTGCTGCAGCATGTGAATCACCTCAGTCAGCTCTGGGTCACGCCAAGCAAACTCCCTAGAATAGAAGTGTGGGGGGTGCAAAGGCATCAGCGTGACGACGGGGAAGAAATTAAGTTACTCCTTAAAAACACGGGCACAGTTTCCTTCAAAATGAATACTTCAGCAAACTGAGGGCAAACTAATAAGAAAAGGAAATTACATTCACATCCGGTTCTATATAACAATCCACTCTGGTCACACAGAAGTGAGGAATGCATCGCCTCTCGACTGCTCTCTTCTGGCACGTTACTTATCAAAAATGTACATCCGTCTTTTACAGTACATGTATCTGAAACTAGGTGACACGATGAGATTACTTGTGTTTGAGTTGTGGCAGGTGTGCTCTCCCTCACCGAGAGTGAATTACGCGCAGCAAGAACCCAGGCTGTACAAACTGTTTTAGCATTGAATAAATCACAGCACAAAGCTGAAAAACACCCTGGACAGAGATCCAGTTAGATATTCTCGGGGGAAATTTGACTTCCTGAACCGACCTGAGTCACGGTGGGCCCCCCCCCCTGAAGCACTCTCTTCAAGTAGCTACACTACAACAACATACAGGGGTGTAAACAAAGCTCCCGATGTGCAACGTCAGGGGGGGGGGGGGGGTTTACTGCCGAAGTCAACCCACTCTCTGCACTTACACGTCTGAACGACAAGAGCAGACGCAGCACTTTAGCGTATGTGAGAGTCTATTGTTGAGAGGCCAAGCACGGCAGAGCCAGCTTAAAAAGCTAGACTACCCATGGGGCTCCCTGTTTGAATAGAAAGAGGACACCGGTGTTGACCCAGCAGAACAGCGATGCCTTGTAAGCATTCGTAGACCCTTCGGTTGACTGTTTCCTGCTACACTGCGCTGGTTACTAACCACTGACTACATCTTATGGTTAAGAAATACAGCATGGCACGGCAATGTGAGCAGTACTTACCTGGGATCCTTCTGAATGCTGTCTATAGAGGGTGAGCGGTTAGCACCGTCATCCATGACGGCAGCCTGGCAAGCGTAGTTGGGATCAGTGGGCCGGTACTGTGCTGAGCGACAGGGATCAGCATAGGTGGCTGCTGTGTTAAGAGCATAATTGTTTCTTTGGTAGATCATAGCACTGCGCTGGCTGGGTGTCCGCTGGAGACTCCCCACACCTGAGGGCCAAAAAAACAAAAAGCTTGAGACAGAAAGTTTAAAAAGGAAAAACACAGACGCGAGCCGACAAACCTTTTCAGCTAAACTCTTAGCTGTGCTCACCGGTAACATACCACCTCAAACCGAGCTGAAAATAAAAAAAAAGCGGCCGTTCCTTCAGACTCAGCAACTTCTAAAACCTGGAACCAATTAATGATGAGGATAAAACACAGCTCCCATGGCTCCACAAAGCAGAAGTCTTCATCTTCAAGGGACTGTTTGCATGTTGTTTTGCTTTTACAAGATTGTGTTCCACCAAAGGGATCCTGCTGGGACTCAACTTGCTCGAAGATCCAAAAAAAAAATCCTTTCCTCAACGTCTTTTCGCTCCTTTGCGCCACTTTCTTCTTCGGCTAACTTTGCCAAACGCAGCAGAGAGGCAACGGTGAACCATGACCGGCTCCAGAACAGTCAGAGATACACTGGTAGAGCAGAAGCATCACAAGCATGCAGATAAAAGGTCCAATATTCAGTCCTGACGACAACAGTCGTCTTCCTCTTTTCATTCGCTCCAAGTCATATTATGACCTACATTTTTTAACACAATGGGTCAAAAACACAGAACTGCATAAACAAGCTGGTTGTATTTAGCCTTCCTTCTCACCAGAGCCACGTGACGTGTGTGGCAGCCTGACTGCCGCGCTGGTTAGATCACTTTCAGAGTGCCAGCAGGACTAGGCATGTGCGTGCTCCTGCCCCCTCCTACCAGCAACCGAGACGTTTCGACTGGTGGGGCCGCTCCAAAAACACAATTTCTCACATCAGTGCACTTCTATGTTGGGCAGCAGCACTTCCCTGCAATATGGTCATCTCCGAAAATAGAGCCAAAGACACGGGAGGACAAATTAGGAACAGAATAGTGTAGCAGTGCAATTTCAGTCAAACTATTTGGGTTCCATTTCTCATCTTTTCAGCCAAGGATCAATATTTCTGCAAAAAATAAAAAGTGCAAGCTTCCAGAACAAAAATCAAAGAATGCATGGAAAGCCGGGGGGGGGGGGGGCCATTGAAATTTCATTTTACAACATAACAAAGAAAACTCTGGGATCAAATTGGATTCTTCTAATGAGGTAGCTCTTACAAAGACTCCATATTGAACACCCCTCTCCAGCTCCGCCCCACTCGCCTCCCTCGATACAGCCGGCATAAACACATTATAGTGGCCCGCCTGGGGGCCTCTTCGCAGCATCAATAGCATTTATTAGTGAACTTATCGGTCTAAGCAGAGCTGCTGTGTGCCAAGGAGAAAGCTGAATGGTGTGTGTGTGTGTGTGTCAGTGCAAACTAAGCATGTGTATCTGAGGCAGGAGGGATGAGACGAGAATGCCAACATCAGGAGAGCTGGAAGAAAGCAGGCTGTGGGTAACCAAGCTGTCCCCCAGCCTTCTTTTCATTCTCAGTGTGACACACAGGTAATGGACTCCTTTGTGGCAGGATGACATGTCAGTACCTGCCTATTAACTCATGTCTCACCCTTTCTGCTGACAGTGGAGGGAGGAGCAGACGGGAGGCAGGGAAGGAGAGGGTGACAAAGTGAAAGAAAAATAGAAAAGCAGGAGGAAAAAAAAGCAAGGAAGAAAGACATGACATAGGTACTGCTAAAGGGCAGATGGAGAGAGAAATGGTGTTCCCGAAAAAAAGGCAAAGACTGCAGAGTCAAGGGGAGTAAGAGGAAAAGACGGTTTTGAAGAGATTTGAAGAAAAAGGGAACGTCTGCACTTGATAAGAGCAAAGAAGGTGCTCTGAATGCAAAGATGGGTCCGCTTGAAATGAAAATGGTACGGGAGAAGAATTGTGCTTAAATAAGAATAAATAAATAAGTAAGAAAACCAAAAGGAGTTTTTAAATATGATGAATAAAATATATTTGATAGTCTGATCTGCTACACACACACACACACACACACACACAGACACACAAAACCAAACACCTTGTATCGTTTGTTAGCTATAGCAGGGGTTTTCAACTGTTTTGTGCAGACTATTATCATATTGACAACACTGTTGCAAACCGGCCTAAACATCACCGTATTTAGAATATCACATGATATTATATGATAAGTTCTCTTTGATCCCCTTCAATACAGTAGTTTATCTTTATCAGTTTAGCTAGCTAGGTGCAACAGTAAACACAGTACCTGCTGGTAGCTAATGACAGACCGCTTACCTTCTGTATTGATATCGCACTCAAATAAACTAAATCGAAATCAGACAGACTTTGCAAAGTTTAAGAAAATAACCACACAAATAGCCTATAAAGATGTGAAATTATTACTCAATAGCACAGTCCTCTGCAGCTCCGTGCTGCTCTATAAGCCTGCCCACTTTTCAGCTGACCAATCAAATGTGAAGGACTTGATTTAAATCCCTCTATTAACTGTACACACCACTTAAATAATTGGTTTCAGAGTACATAACAGTACAGAAGCTAAAGACGCTCTAACTTCCGTTTCACTGGGACTTTGAGGGTTGTTCTGCTAAATATCCGGCAGTGAAAACCACAAGAATATAAACTGACAAAATGTATCTTTAGAGTTACCATGACATTGCACATTTAGGATTAAAAACTCCCAATCTACAGTTTACTGACAATTGCTTTTTATTACCGTTTTCAACTTCAGTCCTACACTCGTGAGCTCGCGTTTCTTTCTGGTAACCACTTTGGAGAACATTTCAACACTTGACTCTACTGACATAAAAGGTAACACCTAAAATGTCTCAATCACAATCACGTCACTTTTCCTTCACATCACCTCTGACAGCTTTCATTTGGTGCCGTGTCCCTTGTGGGTGTTTTTTCTTCATCCTTACTTATCCTTGCCTCCTGGTTTTAACATACTAAGTGGGACCAACCTGAGGCGCTCCTGTAGAGGGTGCCCGGCTGGGTGTGGCTGGGGCTGCAGTACAACGGGCCCTGGAACGTTCGATCCTCGTAGATCGGAGCGATGTGGCGGTCTGGGGACATGGCTGACCTTAAGTCCGGGCCCAGCTGGCTGTGTTGACTGGCGTATGACCTCCGTACTCCTGGAGATGAAGGAGAGTGGTCAGCGGATGAGTCGTTAGATGCAGAGTGATACACACACAGCTAAGTAAAGTGTCAAAGGTTTGGGCCCTCTGTCATTCATATCCCATGTGCCCCCCCCCCCGTTGTGGAATGAAAATCAGTTTTAGATATTTGCTTGATTTTGGCAATCAATCACAGTAGAGCACATGTCTCCTTTAATTGTTGTCAAAGCTAATGTCATTGTTGAGTGGTAATGCGGTTCACTGATATGCAACGTCTGCTCCGCATTACCATACAAACAACAACACGACACGGACAAAACATCAGCAGCCATGATGCTCACTGTGACCTCTCTCAAGTTTCAGGTTTGTAAGTTAATGTATACACAGGATGAAAAATAAATGTAAACAAATAGGAAAAAATGTATACATGAGTTAAAAAAAAAAAGCATTGGCTAAAACATTCCAAAAATTAAACATGATTCTTTAAGACAATGAAAAAGTTAAAATGATCTGTCAGCTCTCCTTGTTTCTGTGTATCATTGTTCCACATTACATGAAGTTGACACACCTGCTGGAACAATTTATGTCCAAAAATAATGGAATCTTTTCAATAGATTTGGTCACCCCAAATATAGACTTCAAAAATAACACACAAGGACCAAAGTCAACTGCCTTCATCCACGTATGTTCTGCACCAGCCGGAGAGGAAATAGCTAGTAAGTAGTCTGTATTTGTACTACAAAGAACTTTGTGGAGAGATGAACAAAACTAAATAACAGTTTAGTTATAAACTTGATATAAAAAGGAAAAGTGTGGTATGGGAAACAGCTTCTGTAATCAGCAACAAGCAAACCTGAGAAAGGTGAGAAAAGGAAACACACAGGTCTGACAGGTGAGTGATCCAATCAGAACGTACGCAAATAAAAAAAAAAAATGACACAAAAGTCAATATAACAACCGGCTGCAGGGACAACGTGAAGCAGCGAGTCCTGTCTGATTCAGAATCAGTCCACAATAACAGAATGAACAACAATATCTGTAGCTCTGAATCCGTCCACGTAAACAAGACCCACCGCCATGAGACCCCTCACCAAACCAACCTCAAAATGCCTTCAAATCACAACATGAGCCCAGCACATATCCGTGCTCTTTCTTAAAGGGGGATGTGGTAATTCTAGAGCATTGAAATCCTCCTGTGTGCTACAACCCTCCAAGTGAACCCCATTGCTGACAGTCAGAAAGAGCCTGTTGGTCTCCTACACCCTACTCCCCATTAGGGTCTGCAGGGAGAAAGTCACATTAAAAACTAAACAGCAATAAGTAAAAAGTATGTTATGATTAAAGCATATTACACAATTAAATCTAATGGTCCTGTCTTTTGAGACAGGCTGAAAATGACCACATTAACTCACAAATTTCTGCATAGGAGATGGATGATGGGCTGTAAAGCTGCAAAATCCAAATAATAAAAGGTCTAATTCTTGAAAATGGATGTAATTCCGGCATGATTCGGCTAATCATCCCCCTTATTAAATTAAACGTGAATGTGTTATTGTGATGAGAGGTAAAATAACTGACATGCTTTCACTGTGAAGTTTTGAAGATGTCGTGAATGTGTTATGCACTACGCTCTTATTTAAAGCTGAAGAAAAGTAAAAGACACACTGGTGCAATGAAGAGTAGAAGACAAGGTGAATATTAAGAGATCTCTGCTGTACTTTTCTTTATACTCCATGTTGATGCCGATGTTTCCGTGTTTGTGTTAAACCTCACGTCAGTGAAGCTCACTGCACTGTGAAGCCCAGCGGACCAGCATGCAGCTGGCAACTAACTGCTCATTGCACATTTCACGAGCCTCCAAACGTCACTTGGGTCCTCTCCAACTGCATGAGCTCAGTCGCAGACCGCTACTAAACACCAGCTCCGCCAATGCAGAACCAGCAGATATGAGGGATTCTTGTCACAGTTTGAGACGGAGGAAATTAATAAAGAAGAGTTTGCCTCCTTTGGGAGCAGGGGGGGGGGGGGGGGCAAACGAGTGAAGATTTTTAGATGTAGATAGCGGGGCCAGACTGACTCTGACCTCTGAAGGACCAAGCAGTTGAGAAGCAGAGCTCTGCAGGGGGGGGGGGGGGGGTCATCAAAAGACCCAGCCAACCTCTAGCCGCATGACTAATGCATAGGAGGATGAATTATCTAGATTAATGGTTAGTTTTTACCCACGCCTTTTAAAGATATTAAAGCTGAAGTCCTGGTCAGGTTTGGTAGCATTCCATTAAACGACATGTCTAACTGCTCTATAATAGCTTTGGATATTTTGTGCCATGTAACATTTTTACATCAAAATGCTTTTGGGTTGAATTGTCTGTTACTATATTAACAGATCTTTTATAGATCTTTATATGCAACCGTTTGGCCCCCTACCTATAGCATCCCGCCTCCTCTTCCCTGCTACCAGGGTTGTTTCTCCATTGTTTAAATATTGCTTGGTGGGGAACATTTCATTTAGTTTTTTATTTTAATTTTACATTATTCAAAAGAAATGGTTTTTAAACAGTATTAAATAAAATAAATGATCCACTTAATGCAATGCTTTCAGAGCAGCTTAGAGGGTTTTAGGCACTCCAGGGTGAATGTCTCTCAGCTTTTAGTGTCCTCTCTTCTGGCTTTTTGCTAAATGAAACAGTTTGGCTGGAAAATATAGTGCAGGTTCACAATGTCAGGCTCATCAATGAATTCTATTTCATATCTAAATTTGAGGCACCGGTGGTTAAACTTAACCACGAATTACATGTAAACAAATACTCTGAAATGGCAGGCATGTTGTTGTGAAGGGTTAGGGAGTAAAACTGAATAATGCCGCTGCCGCTGAGTGCTGTAGTGGCACCCTCAATAGCGCAGGAAGCCTTTCACTCTGTGGCAGAGCACACAATAGCCACTAGCAGCGGCTTGGCAGGAAATCAGTTCAGTTGTACAAAAGGTTTAAAGGGGGTGAGGCTATGAAGAGAGAGGAGGTAGTGGGAAGACTTAAGGAAAAGGGCGGTAGCAACGGAGAAGAAAGCGGGGGAGAATATGCGAGGGGGGAGGACAAGAAAGGATGAAAATGAAAAGAGGGTTAATGAGGCTGTCTAGGACCACCAGAGACTTCTCATCCCATGTAAAGCCCCGCTGTGACCGAGCGACAGGGACAGAATCTCCCAGGCACAGGAGCCTCCATGCATATCTCTGCCACTCAGCAGCACTGACTCCTGAACGTAGCAACATTCAAACAACCTTAGAGGAGACTAATCCATCTGCCTTCTTTAGTCTGCTCCCCTGGTAGTAGGGCTGCAGTGACTTCCAAAAAAGCATCTGCAAATTGTCGGGGAGAAATAACATACTGCCGTCTATTAAGGATGAATGGTCCACATTCCTGGTGCGTTATAGTCATTTAATTCTCCCCCTCAGCCCTTTCACCGTGGCTTTAACAGATTGCACTTGGCAGAGGCTAGATGAAGGGCGGTGGCGGGCTTGGCGCGTGCTTGCTCTGGAGAAACAAACACTTAAATGGATGCAGCTGACTGCATTTCTCAAAAAGAATCATTTTCAAAAAAGAAAAACTCTTCTCCAGATTAACAGGAGAAATTAAATGAGCATTAGTGAAAAAATCGTAATACTAAAAGGGAGAATAGGTGTAAACAAAAAGTGTACAAATGTTAAAACTGTCATGGCGGCTTGGCTGAGAACATTTCCTCTCGCTCAGTTTGTCCCGCTCTGCTCTGAAACGGACATCAAACCTAACAGGCACGTTATTAAGAACAATTTGTCTTCATTTTCCCATTTCTCAGCAGCGGAGGGAAGATATGACTTCCTGACAATGACAGTGGAGGGAGGGGAGCCAGGTGGGTGGTGAAAAAAAAAAAAAAAAAAAAGAGGTAAGGGAAAAAGAGAAGAGCACAAGATAAGAAATAACAAATACAAGTAAAGGGATAGAAGTCTGCTGAAAGGAAAATAAAAGGAAACCGCACAATGCGTGACACAGCAAAAGAGAGAAGAGGAAAGGAGACAAAGCATCTTCTGATAGATACTGACAGAAAACCACCAACACCAACAATATCAAGGTTAGGCTGTCGGAAGGCGTTTGCCAAATGCTTGCAATTGAGCCTGATCACGTGAACGTCCCATTTCCTTCCACTATGGCTCATCAAACACTTGTGACAAATTACTGTGTTAGAGGTTAGGCTCCACTGTGGTGTATGTGAGAGGAAGGAAGGCAGTGAAGGGACAGACGGAGGGGGTGAGAAAGACAGGAGGGAGAGGAGGAGAACAAGGCTGGCGCCTCCCTTTGCTCAGAGGACAGAGACTGAAAACCCCGTTTGTGTCTGCTTGAAACATCACCACTCAGAGTGTCAGTGTGACGTAAATGCCTACTTTCAAGAACCTGCACGTGACAATGAACGTTTGGCAGAAGGGTAACGCATAAGATGAGGAATTCTGTCAAAACCAGGTCCCACTAGCTCTGTGGCATAAAGACGGTTTGGATTATGAACAGATTGTTATCTGTTACAGGCGGCGTGTGCCAATGAAGGCTGGGAAACAACAACCGGCCCACCAAGTAGAGCGACAAGCTCGCCGTTATAGCCGATATACGTCTTAACTGGTTTATCTTTTGTAATGTTTAACAGCGCCGTTTGTTTACGTATGGTTCAAACTCAAGATTAGGGCTGCACGTACCTTGATGTATACTGTGATGATTATCAATAGATCAAAATGAAAAAAAACCTAGTGACAATATCTTTCAATATATTCTGAGTAGATTACAGAGTTAGACCACGAGGTAGCATGTCATATTATAGCCGATAACACAATAAACATGGTAAAAATGTGCACATGCAGCACCTACATGCAAACACGGCACAGTGAGGATGACAGGAAACAGACGTCACACAACAACCAAAAATCATCACCTTGAACGTCATCATCAAGCAGGGCATCTGAGGATATCCCCAGGCAGCATGAAGACAAGCACAACACAGTCTATTAACCTCGCAACCGTCATACAGAGTGATCCTTTTGCCTTTCGGTGGAATCCTGCTTTCACCTGTTATGAATGACTACATTGATTTTTTTTTTCTTTCCTCAAGCTGAAAATATAATAATATGATACTGAAATGAGAATAGATTTTGCTAGGTAATAACTATGGTTTTCATTATTTTGTCATAGCTACGCTCTTATCTCCAGGAGATACCTGAAGAAGAAGTGAGAGCTGGGAATGAATCAGGACAGGCATGGCCTCTTCCTTTGGCTGCGGGGGAAAATTAGATAGCTCCAGATTTGAACAGGATGCGTGTTTAGCTAGAAAACATGAGTCAGCGTGTGTCCTAAAAGGATGACACACACACAAGCCAGTTTCGGCAGGCAGGTTTTCCAATCGTTATCTTCCTGATCTCAACTGTTCTGGTTAAAGTACACAAACAGTTAAACAGTCACCTCATATTGTCCTTGGTGAGTGCATTCGATATAGCCGTGGCAAAGTAATGGATTCCCACAGAACTCCATTATGTGTCGTGGAAATGTCTTACTCTACCTTCTCTATTATTTCACCACAGAGGTATAAAATTAAATTGCCTGTCACTTATTTAACCTGCAAATTAAAACTTCCTTGTTTACTTAACATCCAGCAATATTCTTGATACATTTGCTCAATTTAAACCGCAACTTAACTGCAGCTGAAAAAAGCTTGTTCTTGGCTCCCAGTGGTGAAACATCTCGCTTTGACTGAAATGTTTATGGTTAAAGTGTTTTCCAAAGCTCTTGAATATTAATTCGAAAAAATACTTCTTAGCCGCATGTTAGCTTTGTGGGCTTCTACTTTAGGACGACTATTTTGGTTTCCTGTTCTTTTGTAAACAGCAAAACTAACTGTGATTAGCAGTCTATTATTCTCCTTGGGCTAATATTTGTCTTCTTGCAGGAACTCTGTTTTGGCTTCACACCAGGACAATCGCTGACCTCACAGTCGCTGTTTATTTTCGGATTCGTTATGCTGAGCACAGAGCCAATGACAAGCCAACAAGAAATGTACCGCTGACCAAATATTGACAGCCCGCAATACAAATCCTCTACTCGAGGAGTTCAGAGGAATTTATGGAAAGCAATTATGTGGCAAAGATGGTAAGCTGAACATGCTATGAAACTCAAAATAACCTTTTTAAAAGATGTTTTGTTACTTTTCATTATATCAATGTTTTCCTTTTTTAAGGTAATAAACACTTTGACTAATATTGATGTCTTACATTAACGGCTTGAATAAAAAAGTGAGTTTGAGCAGGCTGCTGAGCTGAAACTCTGTAAATGTCTGTGAGTGTGCGAGTGTGTGTGTGCATTTGAGCACCTGCAAGGTTGTCAGGTCGCGTCATCCTCTCGTAAATGTCATAACTCTGGGGTCCATAGGGGTTGGTGTTGTGGATCATGGAGCGGGGCAGAGTGGAGCTGAAGTGCTGGGGCACAGCGGTCATACTAGCCCTGACTGGAGACGACGAATGAGTGGGCTGCTTAGTCAGCGGAGAGTTGATGCCTTCCACCATGGTCAGAGGCGAGCCCACGCGGCCTGATGATGACCCCGCCGAGGCCTGATAAGGCGAGGTTGTGCGGCTGGCGCCTCCCGACCGTGAGTTCGTGGAGCCCATGCGTCGCAGCGCAGCAGGGGAGTTTTTCTGCATGGAGTACGGCGAGCCGCTACCGCCGACATTGTTACTGGTGCGCTGGGCAGAGGGCAAGGTGGTGGAGAAGATGCTGGAGAGGGGTTTGGGTTCAGTTACAATGGGGGAGCCGTAGGCACTGCCAACAGAGGTACGCAGGGAGGAGCCGCGGGACGGGGACATGCTGCTGGCGTAGGCTGGCGAGTGAGAGCGAGAAGGCACTGAGCTTACCCTCCGCATAGCACGACCAGGCACAGCTGCTGTTACTGCCGGACCCTGCAGAAAAAAAACAATATGGCTTCATTTGTTTCATTCAGGAGCTATAAAATCATTAACAAGCATGACATGCTAAAAAACACAGCGTTACATAAACCAATTCATGACAAGGGGATGACTTTACTCTGGGCCATATTAATCCCCCCCCCTCTGTTGTGTGTGACAGCGCCATTTGGTTTCTCAATGGTCTGTGTGTACAGCGCTGTATGAAGCATGATTATGTCACAGTGCTCAGTGACCTGTGTGCCTTCTGTTTCTTTAAGCATTACTTCAGTACCGCCACTGAAAAAAAAATATAACAGCAATTTTGGTGTTTCTCTTTTGTTGTCTTATAAAAGCCAACAGTAAATTATGTAATTAAACTTTATGAGGCCATGGACATTGTGAGCAGTGACTGTTTAATTAAAAAAAAAAAAAAAAACTGAATATATGTCGGTGTTACTCAGAAGGTAATACGTTAAAAATACATTTTGTGCTTGAAAACAGCAATATGTTGTCTGTTGATTGCTGGCAGTACCTGGACTGAAGCCTGGCCCTCGGCCCTGGTATTCCTCCCCAGGGTACCAGTGCCGGCGCCAGGGAAGGAGTGCTGCATCCTCAGCTCAGCCTTGCCCAGGTTCTGGCTGCTGACGTAGCCACTGCCGGCATCCTGGTAGCCACTGTCCGAGTACGAGTTCATCTGAGTTGAGCTACGCGAATTCCCCGCGGACTCTGAGAGAGCGTGACAGAAAAAGAAGGCCAAAAATTAAATGCAGAAATAGTGAGAGAGAGAGGGAGAGTAGAAGGACGGGTTAGAGGAACAGGAGACACATCATACGTGGTTTCATAATAAACATGACCTTTACCTAGACAGCATTGCTAATGACAAATGGCACAGCGGGGAAGAACTGTCCTGCCACCACTGTAATTCAGTGTGCTGTGGTACATTCAGCCTTTCATAAGCTGTGATGAGGGATCAGTTGCTATAGATGATATAGATGATGTCAAAGTATAAAGTATGAAAAGGACAACGCTGAAAGGGGAAAAAGGCTTTCTGTATCATCAAAGGAGAAGTAACGATAGAATGAGGTAAGAAAACGAAGGTGGGAGTGAGAGAAAAGAAAACCGCACACGATAGAGAGAAGGCAATAACAGACCCTCACTTTCATGGAGGGAGGCCTGCTCCGGGGAGTACAGAGGCACCTGCTCTGACTCGGTCCTGATGCGGTAGCTGGGCGACTGGGAGCTGTCAGTCACCCGAGACTTGGTGTCCGCTGCGGCGGAGGCATCTGGGAAGACACAGCAGAGCAGGGAGTCAGACAAAGAGACAAGGCTTCGAGTCTGAAACAATAAGAGTTCGGGCTTTGCATGGAAAGATTATAATAGTCATTAAAGCAGTGAACAATTGATGGAGTTGAGAGAAAACAACAACGGACAATGATTTCCGCGACATTAGTTTCACGCTTGTGTACGGTGGAGTCATTAAATCGGAATAGTTTCGCTGCTCTAACATTCCCCTACATCTTCCTCTCTTCAGGACAACAACCAGTGTGGAAAACAGGAACTGGAATCAGCCCTCTTATGTCCCCTGTGCACAATGTTCCCCCCGTAATCCCAATCTAGTTAAGCGTGACCAGTGTCAATGAGTTACTCTGCAATCACTGCAACAAAAGCCAGCAAGTGGAGGGGAACAGAGAGGCAAACACTGGCAGCCAGGTTGTTTTTCTTAAAATTCTGCCCGATTAGCGGGTGCGAAAATAAGCGTTGAAGGAGCCGCCTTGTTGCCCAAACTGACCTGTTGAATAAATCTGTTGATACGATGTGATTTTCTCAATTTATGCACGCAATGAATTTGTAATTTAGCTAATAAAACCACAGTATTGCAGTTGGACGTAATTAAACTTGTGCAAAACGCCCTCACTTTCATACCAACCATGCAACCATGTAAATCACACCTTGACAGACCCATATGTTTTGTCAGCAAAAACAATATGGCCGTATGAAAACAGCACAGTTAAGAAATGTAGGCTACTTTACTCGTCCGTATAACAACACTGACAGCACAAAGCCACATTTCTTTAATGCAAATGCTGGTTAAAAGCTGGATTTTAATTATATTTTCTTCATGCTAGAGAGCCTGAATCTGGTCCAAACCTTCCTGCCGCCTCATATTAATAGGCCTACAGACGAATTACTACGGCACACTATAAAAAGATTTTTGTGGAAACCATCTGGAAATCTTGCACTGCTTGAAATAATTAAAACAAATATATCACAGGTGACAGCAACCGGGAGAGGTGGGGTGTAATGTGACAGGAAAAAAGTAATAATGATATGCATAATATACCTCACCCACCTGGGGGTGGGTTGTTGTTGCTGCAGCACCCTCAGCACCTCTCTTTAACAGGGTCATTAAAACTTTACTCAATAATACATTGTCACACATTGCAGAGGATGCAGCAAGTGTTAATCCACCTTCTTTTTTTTCCTCTCTCTACGTGAACTTTTTTTGGACCCCAGTGCTCTTTGGCGACGGGCCCTGACATACAGAGAGAACGTCATTAAAATTTCATGTGGGTGATACAAGAGACTTGTTAAAGTATTTACAGAAAAACAATGAGAGTCTAGGTTTTATAAGACCAGGAAGCTTTTATATGTCCTGTAAACGTATAATAACAGGACTGAACTAGTGCTTTGTCTCCTCCGATCCCAGCAGTGACTCTGTGTCTGGCACACAGTGTGTCCTTTCAGACCACAGGGTTTTTATACTGAGCCTTGACCCTGTTTGATAAATGAGATGCCAAAAAGCCAGAACAGAGAAGGAAGAGAGGGAGACAACTGGAAGACAGAAAGAGAGACAGAAGCCCCTTTTTTCACACATTGAAGATTAAACATCACTAGCTGCCGTTAGCTATGCATGGCAGTAGATTTTTGACATTCACAATAAAGTCTCCCATAAGTTACAATTTCAATGTTGCCGTTTTCAGCCATAACATGGCCACTCTGGATAGAGTATTTCATTTTTTCTCTACGAAGCTGAAGAACAGAGTTGTAAGTTCTTCCACAGGAGATAGATTTTAAAACTTATTTTGCAGTTGAATATGTATCTCTACTACTTATGCTCACTTTAGTAACCCCAGTTGTCAACGCACTCTGTGGACCTCCCCCCCCAAAACATTTTCTTGTAAATTAATTATGTATTAGATAAAACTACACAATATGGTTTACAGTCAAGCGGCACCCATGCAGATACTCAACAAGTCTGCAGCTCATAAGAATTGTATTTACATTTCCCTCACTACCTTTTTTGTAGGTATTTCACTACTTCTAATTAATGTGTTGGAAAATGATGTGGGTTTTAAAAAGATATATCTATATATACACTACAGTGAAATCTGGACTAGCTTTTGTTAGGCACTTTTCATTTTAACTTTAAAACAAAGAAACCAGACGTGTCACAGGTTAACTAATAATAAATCTGAATTCTAGTGCTAACTTTGAGCCTGTTGAGGTTAAAAAATACATATTTATAAGCATGTAAAAGGACCACAGGCGTATAATTATGAGCCTGCTAGGCATCCAATGGGCTGGGAACAAGAAAAAGTGAGTGGAAATAATTGTCGTCTGTGAGAAATCGAGCTGTGGTTTGAGGAGCTGGGCAGGTAACCAATGCCAGCAACCAAAACAGTCAAATTATAAGTAGGCTATTTAACACCAAAATTGTTGAGTGTACTTATTATTTTGGTATTTTCTTTATTTAAAAATCACAAGATTGCAGGAAACTACATATCTGACAGTCAACTTTTTCTGGGGGGCATACCCCCCCCGTTCCAGTTTCGGGATCCATTTTTAGTTCTCAAGTCTGGCAAGTGTGATGGTGACATGTTAAACTGTCAGCATGTTGAGAGAATAAATATCTGAAGAAAGAAGAAGACGGGGGACAGAAACGGACAGAAAGCTTTCATTCTGGGGTGTTTTCCACTCTCAGTGGACACGAGGTGTGACTGCATTGACATTTCCTGCGGCTAAAAGGCCGTTTCCACACTAACACTTCTATCCGAAACTCTCAGACAGCGGGCGCGACACATGGCGGCTCACGTTGCCAATAGACCTCACAGACAAACGTGGCCCATTACGCTATGTGCCACACGTTTACACTTTAATTCATTTCGATTGGAAAAAGTACACTGCCACATCTGACTATCATTTATCATCTACACTACGATGAGAAATCAATGCGAAGCAAAAACAGTGATTGTGATTAGTCCCCGGCGCTGTTCAAACCCCAATGAAACGCATTCAGCGAGGAAATGGGGAATGGGCAGCAAATAAGAAAACGGTGTAGAATTAATATTCCCAGTGCATATGTACAAGTATAACCCTTTAGGCTTTGCAGACAGGATTGACAATAAAAGATTAATGGCCATTGCCGAAATTTGCTAAGTTCCACTCTGCAATAAATAAGCCATGAAATACATTAGTATATTCAATTCATTATCAGGTCTCTGGTGAAGATCCCTAAACAAACACTAAAGAGACCGAAGGGGTCTGACAGAGATCCTTCCGCTCCACATCACTGACTGTGGTGCTGTGTGCGAGTGGGCAGACGTAGCTTAGATAAATATTAAAACAAGAAAAGGCCTTAGGCTGTCCATTAATGTGAGCTTGGTTGAAATGTCTCATGGTAGCTATGATTATTAAGGAAATGTAAAACATGCCTAAACTGCATTACACACACACACAAACGCACACCCTTAACAGACCCCGTACAAAAAAGATGCACACACTTTCTGCCAATATTAAATAATTCAGAGGCACTTAGCGGAACAGTTAAGCCTTACTGATAGCACATATGTCACTGTTTACTATCTACATCAGTGTGATACTGAACAGAACGGTCTAATCCACTATCATTTAGTGTGGACCTCATAAAGTAAACCAAGAATCAAGCCAAGCAGATGGGTATTCATGTCCAACGGTGGTTATTGATCACCGACTGGTGTAGTCAGGGTCGAACAGGAACAGGAATTAATGAAGGTTGCTTCAAACCTTTAGAGAGGACACCTGAATAAGTCTATGTATTTTAGTATTGAATGATGTCTACAGCAGCAAGTATAAAACATCAGTAGAAATCAAAACAAAACAGGTACAATAAACGATCAAAAAGTAAAGGTACAATAAATAAGTGTATTGTAAAAAACAACAAAAGCTAATAATACAATATACAGATCGACTGGTTGTATACACATATGAGATATGAAATATTAAGTGTTTCTATTGCTCATACATACACTGAGCACCGATTTATTGCTCCATATTAAGTTTTTGACAAATATTGCACCATGCGTAACTATCAGGTTACCAATGAGTGAGTGCAGAGGACACTTCATGTGATCTGAATGCATGTAAACAGCAAAAACAGATTTTGTTAGGAAGAGGGACAGCTATCCAATCGTTAAGTGTTTGAGTTGACATACCTGCAATTTTCCACGGCAGGGACTTCTCAGACGAGCTGTATGGGAGAAAACAGGAGATGGAACAGTGAATACATGCACACCACAAAACCAGAGACACCACGGTGAAAGACATGTGTGAAATCATCTGGAAGAGACACTTTTTAGCCTCATGCATTTCTTTCCTTGGGCCTTTAACAACAGGGTCAGAGATGGTAATGTCTGTTTGAGATAAACAGCTCGGAGATTCAGAGTATGCAGCCTAAGAGCAGATTTAATGTTTACAACTCAGATGTAAAGTCCATTCATGTCATCTGTGTTCATCAAGACCTAAAAGGGGCCTTTGGTGACAGCTCGTGTTTCGAGGAGCCATCAGCAATAAGAGATGTTCTAAAACTGTGGGACTGGAAGCTGTTCTTCCACTTGCAGCTTTAATAAACAAAGCCCCCCAAAAAAAAGGCCAGGGGATTGGATACATCCTGATGGGAGCTGAAACTGCCCAAGGACAAGTGAAATCAGAAAAAAATCAGATGTGATCATACAGTACAATCACACACACCGAGTGTACAAGCCCACAGTATCCTGACACCCTAAAGTAACCCTGACATGCAAGCCAGTGTATATTCCAGCACAGAGAGCAATTCAGAGAGATACTCAGTCTCCAGAGAATGTCGTGGCAGAATAACGGTCGAGACAGAGAGCGATCGCAGTCTGCGAGTGCTCGGCCACAACACTGAGGATATACCAAGCAGCAAAAACAGATGGGATCGAGGGACAGTGTGTGGGTGATCGATGATGAATCGGCCTCGGTCAGTAGATGAGGGATCATTCTTAATTGCAAGATAAGAGCAGGAAAGCATCAGGCCAAGTTCCCAGCAGACTATGGCCGAAATCCGTTCAATCTATTGGGAAATGTGAGATTTGTTTTGTGATGAAAAATCCCCTGGACCTTTGGCCTGAGGCATCCACACCCGACATTAGGAAAGCGCAAAGTCCAACCGGTAGCTGGAGTTTTACTGGTGAACCCACTAGTGCTGGAAGTTTCCTCTTCCACCCAATAGTAGAGCAGGCTATGAGAGGAAGAGAGAAAACAGGCCCGCTTTGGCAACTGCATTGCTGAATTTATAGACGCAAGGGGCTAAACAGAGTCCCACTAGAAACCTGCAAAGAATATTTTGATTAATAGTTGAGCATTGTATTTCATCCGCTGATACCATCGCAATGCTAGGCCCAAGGATTGTGCATAAATCTGACTATATACTTTCTGGTCGTTACCTGATGTTGCTATTTTTTCCCCATCTAAGGTGAGCTTTAAGAAGCACGGCTCTCTGACTTTTAATGAGCACGTAGGCAATTAAAAGAGAGGAAGTTGGGGGAGCCGTGCTCCACTGAACCATGGCAGATGAGGTGGAAGAATGGTGACCATGGTGATGATGCACCACACGCGCGCTGCATGTCGACCAGCTGGCTGGATGAAGGCAGCGTAAAGAGATCGTAAAAATTGCCGATAAACTACGGGCCTAAACCTGACAGGACACTTTATTTCCCATCAACCCCTTTGGCCGGGTGGAGGTTGCATCTTTTAGTCGTTTTGCTAGAGGTGAAGTTTGACGACCACACCCTGTATGCTTGTAGAAACGAAGGGAGCGGCCAACTCCGGAGGTGTCGTGAAATGTAATGACTCCCATTACAACCCTTTAAGTGCACCATCACTTCTGCAGATGTCCCGCTGAGCTTATTGAGCCAAGCAGTGTGAACTCAATGGTTAAAGGCTAATCTCCATTCACACACAGATGTCCAGTGACATTTTAATTGTCCTTCCATGTCTGTCTTTAAATTAAAAAAGGTGTGACAATGGTGTTGCGTGTTTTCTCTTGAGACCCTTGAGCTCCTTTAAATCAAGATTGAAGACCTTTCTGTTTGCTGCATGCCTTTAATTGAACCAGATTCAAGGATATTAATCTATATCTGCATTTTACTACTGTATTTAGTGTTTTAATGACTGTTTTTAATGTTCCAATCAATGTTCTTAATTGTTTTTAAATCTCCTTTTCTTTTACCATATGTTTTGATGCTTTTAATGGTTTTATGTGAAGCACGTTGAATTGCCTTGTTGTTGAAATATGCTATGCAAATACACTTGCCTTGCCTCGTCAGAGTCCCTAGGAGGTGGTGGATGGATACACGCCCCCCCCAGAGGAAAAAGTGAATGTGTTTAAAATGTGATTATATCTTTTGTCAGAAACCAGATTTCTGAAACATCATGGGAAACGTATTATTAATATATTATAAAAAAACCTGGATAACAAATGTAGACTACCACTGAAGACACCTGATTATTTGAACATGTTTCTGAGAGGTCGTGTGACCTAAAAACACCGAAAGCACTTCTATCTCTGTGGCAACAGTGAAGAGAGGTGAAAGGAAAGTACTTAACCACTTCTTACTTTTTGGGGTTGCGTCCACAATTTTACTGAAAAAAGGAGCAGGAATGATTTTTTTTTTCTGCTACAACAAAAAAAAACATGAAGAAAAATCCCTTGAACACACCGGCACGGTGAGTGAAAACAGTCTGCTCATCAACAACAGTCAAGCCGCTATCAGCACCGTCAAACCAAATGTTGCAAAACAGCTGCAGCCTCGAATCACTTAACTGATAACCAGAGCCCCCTTTTTTGACTGAACAGTTCCAGGAACTAAACGTTTTGGGAGACAATTGCCTTCTCACGAGAGTTCAAATCAATGTTCTATATTTACTGGTATTTGGCTTGTTTAGTCCACCGACTAATGTAGAAGTTATTGCCATCTTATTTTTCTTTTGGCAGGCTAAATGTTAAACCTGTCACTGACAATGAGGTAAATGCTTCACAAAACAAATTGGGCTGCTAATTTTCATTGTGACTGGCACACAAAAAGAACCCTTTTATTATAGAAGCAGTCATTATATATCGCAAAGAAAGATGGCCTAGTTCTTTAGCTTTTATTCTAAAATGTATCTTGAGCTGCCACTCAGTTTGTTAAATGTCATGAGCGACTAAGGGACAACCACCGGAAAGCAAATGTGTCGCTTATATCTCCAAATATGATCACTGGCGTGGTTGTTGTATACACTAAACCTGGGGTCTAAAACACAGAACTCCCGAAAGAGGAAATGAAAGAAAATAGCCTGGATGTGTATATTTTCAGAGAGCTGTTGTGCAGACCTTTTTGGCAGCACTGGAAGCTGCTCCATACCAGCATCTCTCTAAAAATGAAGAAAGGGGAAATTGACACTCTTAGTCCCGAGTACTGCAATCTGCTGGTGATAGGTGGGTGCTTTTGTAGGTATGCAGGCTGGAGTACAAGAACGCATCGTGTAAGGGCACAGGGCTTATTACTAAAAAGCCAGAAGAGATCACAGAGAGCCATTACACTACAGCCAAGTGTCATGTATCCAGATATATCACATATTGCATCATGGTCCATTTGAGAACGAATGCGGCTCAGACCTGGCATCAGGTGACCATTTGTGAAAAATATGCAAATAACACCTGCCTGGGATGGTACCTTGGGGTTCATGTACAACTTCTGCGAGCATTAATTAAAGACATTAGTATTCAGTGTTCTACAGATAGACTTCGGACAGTAAGGCACTTATAAAAAGAGTGGATACTTTATAAATACAGCAGGGAACAAGGGAGAAAGAAGAAGCTGCCAAACTGAGCTGACGGGAGGAACTGTGTTGTCAACAGTATGTCACCAAAGTAATCAACGCCTTCTACAGTGCTATTCCTCTCATATGAAACAATACTCCATATCAGTAACTATCCAGTGTGATGGGATATTGGGGGAAAAACACTATTTAACTGTTGGAAGTACTGGGGTGTACCAGCGTCTTATCACCATGGTAAACAACAAAGAAACCCTCAGTGGTCAGGGGAACAAAGAAAGGACATGTAGTCAGCACATGTGTTCATGGCCATATCAAAATATGGCTTGAGAGACTATGTTTAGTTCAAAGTCTGACCTTTATGTCGATATATTTAATCACACATACTTTCTAATGAAACATATGACCAGCGTATAGGTTAGTAAAATAGCCACACAACAGAGCACTATGCTGTGCCATCAAAACCCGTGAAGGAAATAGGCAAGAGCAACAATAAAAGACCATAATATTAACAGTGCCTGACAAATCTGACCATTAAGCAATCTCTTAAATGTCACAGTCTATTAACCTCTATTGTAATTTCCCTTGCCGCTTTAAGGAATTACATTTTAACAAGACCTAAAAGACAGTCCACCTATGAATCGTTTAATTAAGTGCAACTGAAAACAGTGATCCATGAATGAAAGTTATGAAACACGCACGCAAAAATTCAAACCATGTTGCTATGACTTTTATGCAGACATACATATTATTACAGATTATCTGTATGTAAACATTCAACCGTGATGTTTTATTCTGCAGTATATTATTAGTAGTACAATGTCAGTGTATCTCCTCATCTTCTGTATCTTTGTCAAATGAAATTGAGTTGGACATTCACGCCACGTGTCAATATAAGGCTGGTGTCAACCCTTCTTCAAAAGGAGTTCTATGAAGCCCATTGGGATATTGTATGTGGTATCGAGCTGTACAAATGAAGCCGGCACGTCGGAGGCACAGCCCACAGGACAGAATGCGCGGTCACTGAGGTGTGATGAAGATGAAGCCTGGTAGTCTCTTAGCTGATGAAATGGGAATGAGTTCCCAGAACAAACTCAGAAGCTCCCCAGCAGCGCTTCAGTGAGCAAACGACACTCCACTAGCACGCACATTCACAAACACATTCCGTCACTGATAAACATAGGCTTAATATTTTGCCCACAGAGACAGCCGTTTACATTTTCATTTCAGCTCAACATAAAAGTGATTTGAGTGAATCAGCCAGGACAAAATCCTGCAGATTTAAATTGCTAACTGCTACAACCGTGTTTCTGATAAGCCAAGAGAAGACCGGAGCAATTCTGTCTGTTTCTAAATAACAGGACAGGAGGGGCACATTTTCAGATTTACAGTCCAATCATATTTGAGCAAACTGGGATGCTCCATCACTATGCCATAAGGTTACACTATGGAATATGGTCACTGCTGTGAAGGATGAAAACGCCATGTGTTGGATTGTTGCTCTGTGTGTGTGTGTGTGTGTGTGTGTGTGTGTGTGTGTGTGTGTGTGAGTGCATCTTCTCATTACCTGCTGCTGCTACCAGTGCCTGGCGACTCGGCCCCGAGTCTGCATCTTTCCAGCTGATTGGCCACAATCTGCCTTTCCACTTCTAGCTCCCTGGTTAGCCGCTCAAACTGGAGCTCCTGCGCATACACACACACGCACCCACCCACACACACACACACACACACACACACACACACACACACACACACACAAAAGACAAGGGACATTCTCATCAGAGAGAGCTTTGCGTACTTCGAAATGACAAATGTGAAGTCAATACGAGGGAGGCAGGTTGACAGTTTGACAGGTAGCTCCTACAGCGTTGCGCTCCATCATGGCATGTAGGTTAATGATGACACAAAATAGAAGATTAAGGAACCTCAAACAAGCTAAATCCAAATATAAATGTTAGCTCCCAAGTAGGTTAAAAAATAGGGACCGTGTACATTCAAACACACACACACACACACACACACACACACACACACACACACACACA